CCGTGGCTGTTGCCGCAATGGCTGTGTCAGAAACTCTGCTGTCAGAAAGCAACATACCTTTGAATGTCAGCTGCCGAGAATCGCTAGTGGGGAGGGTCTCTTGCACCCAGGTTCTGGTAGCCTCAGTGAAAACAGGATGGTCCACAGGAAACGGGCCTCTGGCCTGATCTAGCAGGGCTCTTCTGCTCTTTTTTCCCTGGCAACCCTGCAAACTCCAACAGGAGATTGGATCAACACAGGAAGATGCATCTTTTATTCCAGTTCAAATTCCCACCTGTAAAATCACCCTCCCTCTAGATAGGAGAAAAGGATACATGGGTACATTTCTGTTCTCCTGCATGAGACCCAGTGAAGCTTGGATGAAGCAATTTGTGGTAGGAGACTGGCAGAAAAGAAAAATTTTAGTTGGACTTTGTCATTAATTTACTATTCATTTATTGAATTTAATTCATTTATTAAATTTATCACAGTACCAGGAGACAATCAGTCAGGTCATGTATCCACAGCAATGGCCAGAGGAGGAATGACTTCTGGGAGGAGCTCAGGGAGAAGAAACGCCATGGTCCATCTGCAGCAGCGCAACTGGATGCCTTCATCGGCCCCAGCTGCGACAAAACATGTCCTTCCTGAGACAGACGGATGCCAACACACATTAAGTTTATATCACACCCTTCTTCCCAATGGATCCCAAGGCAACATAAAAATGATTTGGAAAAAATACATACTCAAAACATTTCTAGTAAAGATGCAGCCTGGGAAATATCTCAACTTTAAAAGACTGTTGGAAGAGGAGGGTCTCAGCATTTCTGGAAAAGACAACTGAAATTGTGCCTGATAATTATTTAATGGGAGAGAAATCCAAAGGTGGGGGCCTCCTGATAAGATGGCATCTGAGTATATAAGGGAAGAGATAATCGCTTGTTTGGAATCAGGTATCCTGATTCCAAGCTGTTTAGGGCTTCATAAAAAGGTAAAGGGACCCCTGACCATTAGGTCCAGTTGTGACCGACTCTGGGGTTGCGGCGCTCATCTCGCTTTATTGGCCGAGGGAGCCGGTGTTTGTCCGCAGGCAGCTTCCAGGTCATGTGGCCAGCATGACCAAGCTGCTTCTGGCGAACCAGAGCAGCGCACGGAAACACCGTTTCCCTTCCCACCGGAGCGGTACCTATTTATCTACTTGCACTTTGACGTGCTTTTGAACTGCTAGGTTGGCAGGAGCAGGGACTGAGCAACAGGAGCTAACCCCGTCGCGGGGATTCGAACTGCCGACCTTCTGATCGGCAAGTCCTAGGCTCTGTGGTTTAACCCACAGCGCCACCCACATCATACACCAGATCTAATACTTGCTAATTGGTCTTTTCCCCTTGCACTTATGAGAAAGCATAAGGAAACCTCCTAGTTCTGACTCAGGCCACAGCAACATCAGTTTAGCCACCAATCTCTCTTCGCAGGGAACTCTGATGTAGCTCCCTGTGGGGAATGGGGCCTCCCATGAGGTTTGGCATTGCACAACACAGACCACCAGCTGATTCAGGTCTCTTATCTGCTGCATACCTGATGTGTGGCTTGGAGAAACCATTCTGGGCCAAATTAGGCCAAGGGGCTACAGGTTCACCACTGCAGCTCTACACCAATTGGCAGAGGCTCTTCAGTCAGCACGGCAAGTAGCCAAGGATTATGGGACCTGTAGCCCAGCAACATCTGGAGGGCCCCAGATAAAATAAGTGTGTGGATAGGATTCTGGGGAAGGGCCGGAGCTCTGTGGTAGAGCAACTGTATTGCATGCAGAGGATTGCAGGTTCAATTTCTCGGCATCCGCCGGAAACCCCAGAGAGCCAACTCCACCCACTGTAGACAAAGTTGAACCAGATGGACCAATGGTCTGGCTCCGCAAATGGCAGCTTTTTATGTTCCTGATACCAGGAATATATCAATCGACTAGCATGCTGAGATACTAATATTGCATTCTGATATTACCAAGTTTCCTACATTGAGATAGCTCTCCTGGGGGGAAATAAATGCCTGGAGCAACCTTGAGCTTTGGCCTAGAATCCTCTGCCGGATCTCAACTTGGATGCTGAAAGAAATAGGAAATCAAGCAGAATCTATTCTGTTGAGCCCATCATTCACAATGGCTCATGAAACATTTAAATGATGCCATCATTTTGATGCATTCTTCACCCGGAGTCACAAATTCCCAGTCCAAGGTGCCAGGCTACCGAAAGAAGGCTACATTGAGATGCAGATTGCTCATATTTACGACAAAGAACACAGGCGCTGTCCCCGGGCAAAGCGGCGACAGCATGCTCAAGGAGGAGGAGCAAAGTGGCAATTGCAGTCAGCAAAAACCCAGCACAATTCATGCATCATGTAAATGGTTATGTATATTAAAGCAATGAGGACAAGGCATATTGATTTAGCACAAACACCGAGTGTCCCAGGTGCTGAGACCTGGGGAAATAGAAACCACAGCGGGCGGAATAACAACACGACGAAAATGATAAAAGGATATGAGTGTTGGAAAAGACACACAGGACGCACCATAAATTCTAATAATCCATATTTCTCGAAAGCCGCAGTATTGACTCCAAAACAAAAGAGCAAGCATTGTAATGTAACAAATGTCAAATGGGATAGCAACAGGAATTCAATTTGCTCCAGCCGTATATCAACTTGAAACTTAATGTAATGGCACATAGTTAAGGTTGCCCCTCACTTAATAGCTATTACCAGGCTCTGGGTGGGTGGGCTCCCCCCCCCCGGCCACACACACACAAGCATAAAGCAGTGAGCATTTGGCATCTTGATGTGGAGGGAGGGGAACCCACTCACCTCAGAGAAGGAAGTGAGGAGAGTCAGGCAGGATGAGGACAGCAGGCAGGTGGAGATTCAAGGTCTTTAGCTCAGGAGTGACCAGCCAAATGAGACCACAAAATAGCCAGGCAGCAAAACCTTCATGAACTGCCCCCAAGACTGCTCCCCCTCCATTTCCCCACATGCAGGGGTCATGCACTAGGACTGCGCACGGTCTCCCCAATCTTTCTAGGGCTCAGTCTGGTGCTTTGGACAAGGGACAATCCAGACTGACCTGATGCTGAGCTCACCTCCAGGGAGCTCTGTACCATTGCAATAGGGAACCTTGTCTAGGCCAAGGGCCACATTTCTCCACTGGCAACCTTCCAGGGGCCACATGCCCATGGTAGGCAAATGTGAGCAGGAGCAGCAGGTGTCATTCTCTCCGTGGTCCAGCAGCCCACATTTCCATGCTGCAAAGTCTGAAGTTTCTAGACATGAGGACAAATGCCCACCCCTCTCCCTCCGCCATCCCTGGCAAGCAAGAGGCATCATCGCGATCCAAGGACACATCGTGGCCAGGCAAAAGTGCTTGAGATGGCACGGGACAAAGCCAGGAGGAGCTGGAAAGGGGCGTGACCTGGCAAGACCCGGGGGCCCGAAAGAGAGGCTTGGAGTGCACCAATTGACCCCTCTGTCAGGAGGTTCCTCACCCCTGCTGTACAGGATGGCAGCCTCCTCCCTACTGTGCCACAAGATTCCACCGTGCTTTTTGTATAGCCAGCTTATCTGCTCTATGTGACCTTGGACTGATAGGCTGGACACTTTCCAGCGAGAGAGAGTCTGCTAGCTCTCTCTCTTCCAGTTCTTCTTCACCTTGCTATTCACCCCCCCAGTTTGTCCCAACTTTTGTCTTCAGAACTATGCCCTTCCGCAAACCACTGTTCCAAATCTATACTGCTCCACTGCTCCTGGGCAGCTTCAGGATCCTGGTCAGGAGCAGGGGGAGGGGGAGGCTCCCGCCATTCCTCATCAGAACTGTACTCCTCAGCCTGGTCTCTGACACCTGCCTGCTTGGCTTCCTCTTGAGGGCCTGGCTCCTGCACTTCAAAACTGAACATGGCATCACTGGTGCCGAACAAACATTCAATGTTGACTGTTGACAAGAAGGACTAGAAAGGACTGTGTTATGGAGACAAGCCTTTCACTGTATTCTAGAAGAGACAAAGACTTGTGGAACAGTGGGGATTGCAGCCTCTGTGCTCCAGTCCCATGCGAAGGTTAGCAGTGCAGCTAACATTGGAAGGGGCATGTTGGAAGGGGTGTTGTGCTTATGCCACCCCCCGACTGACTGATAAAAGGAAGGATCTAGGCATGCATCACATAGATAAACTACCTGCAGGAGGCAGTGATGGCCCCTGACCTAGAAGGCCTTAAAAGAGGATCAGATAAATGCCGGGAGCAGGAGAGGGCTGCTAATGGTCACCATGTGCAGTTGCGCTGCTCTGCCTTCGGGGTCAAAGGCAGCACATGTCTCTGAGGACCAGCAGCTGGAAAGCGCAGGCAGGAAGAGGGTGCTCTTGGGAACGGATCCTCCTGGCAAGTTTCCCATTCAGGCATCTGGTCAGCCCCTGTGAGAACAGGATGCTGTACTGAATGGGGCCCCTTTGGCCGGATCCAACAGACCTCTTCTTAGGTTCTAGTGATCCTACATAGGGCGGGGGGAATCTGTCAGCTCCAGTTTCTCTCAGTTTCTCATTTTTCTTAAGTTCAGTCCCCCACAGTAGCACACCAGCTTGCAATTCTTCTACTATTATTATTATTATTATTATTATTATTATTATTATTTTATTATTATTATTATTATTATTATTATTATTATTATTATGTTCCTCTTGAAAATTCAGCAGCATTTGAGCAGCAAATCTCTTCTAATAAACAGTTTTTTGATGCAATTCTGCCTACAGTACACCATTTTGCCTAGCAATTCTCCCTCATATAATGCACTTCTGAACATTACATTCTCTAATACTGTATATGACAGGGGTCAGCAAACTTTTTCAGCCGTGGGCCGGTCCACCATCCCTCAGACCATGTGGTGAGATGGACTGTATTTTGGGGGAGGAAATGAACGAATTCCTATGCCCCCCAAATAACCCAGAGATGCATTTTAAATAAAAGCACACATTCTACTCACGTAAACACATGCTGATTCCCAGACCATCCGCGGGCCAGACTGAGAAGGCGATTGGGCCTTAGTTTGCCTATCCATGGTATATGCATTCTTGAGCTTGTTTGGAGGTTCTAGCAGAGGAGCGCAGCTATCGTATACCCTTGGCCAAAGAACGGTACACTCCTTCTATCTGGGATGGTCGTCCTCTTCCACCGAGCGCGCAGCTTCGGGAGGGACGCACATGGAGCGGTGAGGGAGGAAGGGAACACCCGCCTAGCCAGCCAGATCAGCCAAATCAACCCTGGCGATCAATGGGGTGACAGATGTCGCAGCCAGATCGCCCTCACATCCCATGGTATATGCATTCTTATCTGCACTTCAGGCTTTTTTATGCGCATTACTTGGCTGAAAAACGGCACTGCAAAATTCAGAGGAGCGTGACTTTCGAAGGAGGACTGCATTTCAGTCTGCATATTGTTTCCAAAATTGTAAATCCTGTAGGTTTGTCTTTAAATGTTGACTGAATCAAATTTATACTCCAATCCTCGCCCTGTGTACTTTAGATGAATATCAGTTGCTTGGGTGCTGCTTCTGGGTTACTTGTCAGCCCCTGTGGCAAAAGGGTGCTCGACCAGATGGGCCAGGGGCCAGATCCGGGGCTCTTCTGATGTTCTTACACTCTGATATACCTTCTCAATGCCTGAGCAGGACTCACACAGTTAACTTTTCAATAGCTGCTTGTGCTCCTTTCTGTTACCAGCAGTGTCTTCATCCCATTTTTGCCAAACACTCAAGGACACCCGCAAGGATTCTGTCCAGCTTGGGAGAGACCTGGATTGACGGCGGGCTGAGAAAGGTTTTGAGTGTCTGTTTATGGTGCCATAAAGACTTTTATGTGTTGCATTTAGCCTCATGTCTCTGCATTCGCTGCGTTAAATATATAACATTTTACTTTCAGTGCCACGGTGGCTGCGAGCAGGAATATTTAAGACTAATAAATAATAAGTAATAATGCTTTCCACTGAGATGGATTTAAAATGGCCACAGAGAGTACCTGCCTTTCAGAGTCCAAGAAGGCAGGCTGTTTGCGAGCTCTACCCCTGCGGCTGGACCAGGGCGCACCCCCATCACCATTTCTCTGGAAAGACAGCATGTCACATTTGTTGCAGAAAGAGTGCACCTTTGCTAATTGGAGAATTAGTTGGTACCCAGGGCACAAGATGCTTGTGCAACATCCCTAGAAGCCAACATTAAAAATTGAAATTTAAGGAAATGTAGAGGAGGAGGGGCAGAAATAGATGTGAGTGTTAGCATTATGCTAATAACTCCAATGCAGCGCACAGGACCTTGAGTCCTGACCAGAAAGCAAAGCAAATGCAATGGAGAGAAACCAGTTGGCTCCATCTGACCTTGCTCAGAATTACAATAATGCTTAATATTTGAATAGCACTTTCATAGGATAATAGGAAGCTGCCTTAGAATCATATAAATTTAGAATTGTAAAGTTGGAAGGGACCACAAGGGTCACCGAGTGCAGCCCCCCTGCAATGCAGGAATCCTCTGCCAAGTCGGGTCACAAGGTCCAAGTAGCTCTCCATTGTCTACACTGACTGACAGTGGCTCTCCTGAGTTTCTGATAGGATCCTTTTCCATCCCTGCCTGGAGGTGCTGGGACTGAGTTTAGGACCTGGGTTTGACACCATAAGGTCTCGATTTATATTTTTCATTGACAATAGTACAATGATCTCCCTTCCATCTCGGTCATGGCGGCCACCGTGAATAACTTATCCTAATGCTCTAGATTCAAGTATTCCCTGTGGATCTGAGCTGAATTTGTAATGTAAAAGATTTTCCAAGTTTGTTTTGGTGCCAGGTGGATGACTGCACACAAGACTTAACATATGTACATGCATTTGTCTTGGAAGACAACACAAAGTTTGTAAAAGAACAAGAGAGAGAGAGAGAGAGAATCTGTTATTGAATGGTGGCCCTTCCTCTTGTTCAGCCCATTTTGCCTGCATTGTTTTGCAATCCTTGCAAGAGGGGCTGAGGGATACAGGAGGGATTCATTCCCTTGGGTGTGATCTGCCATGGGGTGTAATCTGCCATGCTAGCAGTGGGAGGGGCTGCAGCCAGGGAGGGGCTTCCTTGTCTGCTGCTCTTCACCCTTCCCCTTTTGGGGGTGTTCCTGGGCACCCCCCGCACATGCCTATGCACTTCAACCTCATATTTTATTTTATTGCACTGGTTTAGATTAACTCTTGGAATGATAACTATCAAAAAGTAGTGGAGAAGCTGGTTACCAACAATCTAAATTCACAATCATAGGCATCCAACACCAAGAACTTTAAAAGAACCGAGTGAAAAGGGGAGGGAAGTCAGAGGGAAGCAAAACATCAATAAGTCGATTGACAAAGAATATATTTTTGTTTTTTCTTTATTATGATTTGGAAACATTCGTATCCCAACAAGAAACTGAAACTTCATATTGTGTTCTTATGTTAAGTAAGCATTTTTGGGTTTAAAAAAAAAAAATGGGGGGGGGAGGTTTTATTTTATTACATTTTCATGCCACCTTTTCTTCCAGGGAGCTCAAGGGAGCACGCATGGTTCTCCCCTCCCTCACTGAATCCCCACAAGAACCTTCTGAGGTAGATTAGACTGAGAGACAATGACTGGGCCATGCAAGCTTCAAGGCTGAGTGGGATTTTAATCTGACACTCGAACCACTCCACCACCACCGGCTGCCACGTAAGGCCAGCACTGTCGGGGGCACTTCAGTGTCTCTTTACGATGCAACGTCCTTGGCATACCAAGAGAGCAACATGGAGAAACCTCAAAGAAAACACAATTGGAATAGAACCAGGTGAAGAAGACTCCTCCATCTTGTTTCAGCCAGCAGCCATATAGCTGCCTACAGGGTATGCTTTAACATTCCTCAGATGTTAACAGTCTCACTCCCCACTAAATGACCCTCCTTGAGCCCCCATTTTTGGTCCCCACCCCACTCCATGGAGCATTTCCTATCAGCAGAAGGAGGAGTGCCACCACAACCACTCGAACGGGACACAGCACCCTCCACCATTGAACACATTAATCCTGTAGAGTTGGATTTGACCCCAAGGGTCATCTAGTCCAACCCCCTACAATCACAGCTAAAGAGTCCATGGCAGGTGTCCATCCAGCATCTGCTTAAAAACCTCCAAGGTAGGAGAGTCCACAGCCTCCAAAGGGAGACCGTTCCACTGTCAAACAGCTCTTAGTGTCAGAAACTTCTTCCTGATGTTGAGTTGGAAGCTCTGTTCTTGTACCTTGAAGCCATTGCTTCAAGTCCTACCCTCCAAAGCAGAAGAAAACAAGTTTGCTCCATTTCCATCTAGCCTATTTTCCAGACTAAACATGCCCAGCTCCTTCAACCATTCTTCATAAGGCTTGGTTTACAGACCCTCAGTCATCTTGGTCACCTTCCTCCATACATATTCCCGCTTGTCAATGTCCTTCCTAAATTGTGGCGCCTCCTCCCCTAGCTCAGCAGTGACAACACTAGTGGGGGAATAGGGATATTCCAGGATCAAATCAGAAGCCAGAATGGCTTTCCTAATTCCGGGGCTGTCCCTGGAAAATCGGGGCACTTGGAGGATACACTACAGTAATTTGCCTCCCCTTTCATAGAATCATAGAATCATAGAAGAGTTGGAAGAGACCACAAGGGCCATCGAGTCCAAAGAAGGAGACTCCACCACATTCCTTGGCAGCAAATTCCACTGTCGAACAGCTCTTACTGTCAGGAAGTTCTTCCTAATGTTTAGGTGGAATCTTCTTTCTTGTAGTTTGGATCCATTGCTCCGTGTCCGCTTCTCTGGAGCAGCAAAAAAACAACCTTTCTCCCTCCTCTATGTGACATCCTTTTATATATTTGAACATGGCTATCGTATCACCCCTTAACCTCCTCTTCTCCAGGCTAAACATGCCCAGCTCCCTTAGCCGTTCCTCATAAGGCATCGTTTCCAGGCCTTTGACCATTTTGGTTGCCCTCCTCTGGACACGTTCCAGTTTGTCAGTGTCCTTCTTGAACTGCGGTGCCCAGAACCTTGCCCAGAACCCCTTTCCCTTCTTTTCTCTCTCCCCACCCCCCAGCTGTGATGTGATTGTCACAAGCACAGAGGCTGTGGCTGCACCTCAGTTCACCCAAGAACACCTTGTGTGAAGAGCAGGGAGAGTAAATACATCAGTGTTCACCATATTAAAGCAAGCCACGCTGGTTATATGTCCTGACATTTTGATAATAACATTTCCACCATTCTCCCCTCCTCCTTTCTTAATTTATTATCCTACACTAAGCTCGGTATTTGCACTGGCTGCCTTACATCTCTTTCTGCGCTCCCCTCCCCCCAACCCAAATACTCTTTAAGATGGCCAAAGGGGAGAGAGCGTCAAAACGCAAACCTCCGCTTCTCCAGCACCTCGCTCTTGCTTCCTCCCCATCCCCTCCCACCCCCTCTAGTTAGAATCTCTTAATCAAAGTGACAATCTGTCTTTTCCCAGAAAAGGGAAAGGGAGCCTTTGAACAGCACTGCTGCTCGGCTCTTCCCTTTGATGTGGGATTTAAACTTGCGCCTTCAGCAATCTCCAGAGTCTGTCTGCACATGCGTGTACATGAAGTGAAGTGTTTATCCTTGTTCTGTTACATGCGCACACACGGGGTGGGGGGGTAAGGAGGGGGGGGAGGAGGCAAGAGACTGGTGCTTTGCTCTACCAGTTCCATTTCCACAACTGGTCGAAGGACAGGCCTGCAGAGACGCACACGTTCTCTGCCTCTGGCGCAAGTCACATTCGACAGCTGGATGTTAATTCTCCCAGCCCTCAAGATTCTTTCTGGTAAACTGCCGGCGATGTCAGCTCATCCCCTTCCAGCATATAGTCATTAATTTATTGGACTGATAGCCCACAATACCCAGAGGGCTTGGAGCACATAGCAGGACTCCGGCCACATCCAGATGGCAGGCCTGTGCACTCTCCCAGTGGTACACTGAGGGCAGCATGCTCTCCCATGTCTTACAGCTGAAAAGAAGGATGCTCCCAGAGCCAGACGGAACATGAGGGAGAAGCCATGTCTGTTGCTCACATTATCTATGTTTTTGTAATGAAGCTGAATGCTGGAGAGTCAGGACCGGACCAAAGGAAGTCCTTCTTCACACAGTGTAAGGTTAAACTATGGAATTTGCTCCCAGCAAAGGCCACAAAGGCTATCAACTTGGACGGCTTCAAAAGAGGATTAGATAATTTGTGGGAGGATAAAGCTAGAGATGGCTCCCTCCCAACCCCAAAATTGTACGATTCTATGATTCTGT